CCATCTCTTCCTCCTGCTACCAGCTAAAGTTCCCCCACTGTATATTGGCTAACTTAATAATTGCAATAGCTGTGTTGACTCATGCCACATATTAGATAAAGTGCCAGAAATCAAAACACATTTAAAAACATACATACCATTGTCTAAATTCTATTCAGAAATACAAACCTTTTTGTCCTATAGATAATCTTAAAAGACACTGACATTTCCACTACAATGCAGTAAAACAAGGTAGGGAGGCTTTTACAAAAATACAAATAAAAATTTGTGTATTTAGATAATACTTAAGACCATAAGAGAAAGCCAACTTCAGACTTCATCTTAACATTCAATGTCATTAAAATATTAAAACTAGAACAGAACTCAGTACAGTAACACCACCATAACATGTCTTCTGTTACTTGTCAGAGCTTTAAGAGAAATTTAAAATTTTGTGCACAATTCTGAGCACACATCTATAAACACAGAAAAAGTTAAACACAAAGCTGGGAGTGAAGTCAAGAGAGTCAGGAAGACTTATCTGAAAAGAGGCACCAACATTTAATCAGACTAATGAATCCCACAGCAAGAGATACATTAGTTACAAGCAGAATATTAAGAGCCAAAAAAAAAAGAGCAAACAGCTAATACTGCCAGTGGGCAAGGAAGACATTGTGTGCCAGGATGTTAAGTCAATAATTGTTGTAATAAAGAAAGAAAATTGCAGAATTTTAGCGCTTTCCTTTGGGGTGTCTTTTATTCCTTCATAAATTCTGCACAAACAGATCCATCTTTTCTTAAGAGTCTTCTGAAAGAACCTAATTCCTTTCTGAAACTCTCACATTTCCATAAGTCATTTACATCGGAGCGTAAGCAAGCTTTCTACATTTTCTTTAAACGAGCTCTCTCGAAGCCTAGATCAAGCTTCCTCCCCCACTCTTTTGCTTCCAGGCTATCCTCACTAGCTAGATTGACTTTATATGCTACAGCAGAATTTTGCAAGGGGCCTGGTATGAAAGCAGCAGCCCCACATGGAAAATGAAAGAAGCTGATCATAAAACTTAAGTAAGTCTGGAAGGAACAAAGTTAATTTTATGATATACTGTGAGGCCTGCATTAGAGACTTGGTAGTTTTCAGAGCCTCAATGGATTTCTGTGGAATAATTATTAAATACTTTCTAACAAAGTTCTACCTACAGATTCTTTCATTTATAAGACAAAAACATTGGGGATTTGTCAGTAATTTGGGGATGTTGTCACCAATTGATCATTCAAACCCTTCAGATTTTCGAAGGAAAAGAGTTTTAAGAAGGTTTTCAACAATAAACCATAATGTTGGCTCAATATAAAAGCCAGATTAAGAACTTAGTTTCTGTGCCTTCAGCTCATTGCTACAATGAGAACTACGCAAGTGAGAATTTGGATAGCTAGCAAATTAACTAAGAATCTGGATAATTAGAAGCATGTACTAAATATACACAGATGAACACAGATGTGCATACATAGACACGCACACACTAACTCATCTCTGGGTAATGACTATGGGTGGCTTTCCATCTTTTCTTTTAAGAGAATTACATTCTGCCTATAGCTCCAAACTGAAGATTACTATGAGTTTTTCTACCTAGAATACCAAAATTCTTTATTCAGATGCTGTTTTACAACAAGACTGTATATGTCATAAAACTAATCAAGTTAATTAACACCAGAAAGGATATGCATAGGGCATCTCAAAACAAGTCCCTGACCCAAGTTGCTTACATGTCATGGAAAGGTGGGCACACCTGTACAATAACCATAGAGAGCTGTAATTAAGAAGTGTAGTTCAAAAAAGAAGAATCAAATTATGTTTTAGTTGCATCAATGTGATCACACTTACCTGTCTGATAAAAACATTTAAGTGAAAAGTTAATGTCTCTTGATCTTTTCACTATTCACTAAAATCTGATTAGAAGAAATCACATTAACATGTTAGATTAACAACTAAATTTAGATTAACATGTTAACAACTGACTATATAAAAGCAAGTTTGACAGTTGACAATACAGAACAAGAAACAGCTTCCACCATGGTAACAGGATTGAGCAGTATAGCTTTAAACATTTAAGAGTGAGATCCGAAAGACAAGACTGCCAGCCAGCTCTTTTAGTCATGTGCTTCTGAGAGGAGCTCCTCTTAAAAATATTAAGAAATAACAGTAAATTAAGCTGAGTAAGTTAAAACCTAGAGGTCACTCATTCTTACAAACATCTTTCAAGAGAAATGGAAGAAGATACTATCTTGAAGAAGAGACAGATGACAAAAATGGATTATTTTCTCAATCACCTCTTGTCATAATGCCCCTAGCAATCTGATGTGCTGAAAGCATAACAGGGCAGGCACAGCTTGTAGTTAAATGCCACAAAGGAGTCATCACCCAAAGCGTAGCTCAAATTACTGCTCTTCCAGGAATCAAAGTCCACTGTTGAGGACAAACCAATTGTCAACACAAAAAGAACGCTGCAGGATGCTCAAGTTTAAACTTTATAGCTTAAGGCAGGGTGAATCTCAGTGCTCCAAACACAGGAAGACTGACACAGAGAAGCAAAGTCCTTCCGGCCCTGAAAACAAACACCAGCTCTAGAAAGCAGGCAAAACCCTTGTGCTCGTTCCAGCTTTTGAAGAGATTACCTCTTACAAGTATCCATGAAGAGAAAATGTAGTCCACGGCAAAGACATAAGAGAACACAAGCAAGAGGCAAGGCAAGAAAAACCACCTAAACCAGTCTCTCAAGTTAATTTACAAGTAAGGGATACCAGTTAGTGAACAAACTCAAAAGCTGTCCCACAGAATAGTGGGCTAGAGTTTAACCGATCTTATTTTTAAGCTGATAATCTATTTAACTCTTCTTTAAGAAGAAAGTAAAAGCTGCAAAAGCATGGGAACAGTTTCTAGCTTCAGAAAGTTATAAGAAAATTTTAAAAGATTATTTAAAAATAATCAAGTTTCACTTTTATCTTAACAGAAATGACTCAATTCTTTTGTTTTTCTAATTGAGGAGTACACTTGGGATAGAGAATAATTAGCTAAAATAATAAGAGATGAATGACTTCTATGGGCAAATTTAGTAAGACCTAACTAAAAGAGACTCTAGGAAAACACTTTCTCACCTAAAGGTAGGTCATATATCAGCAGTCAGGTGCATTGTTCAAAAAAAAAAAAAAAAATTCTACAGAATTTGAAATGAATAAATGAACTGCTGTGAAATAAACTTCATAAAATCTACTCATAAAATTCCAGGGAAATTGAAACTTATAGAATTCATTCAAGTTTTATCTTTTTACCCATCCTTTTCTGAAAGTCAAAATAACTGGACTGAAACTTGGGATTTATTTTGCCTTTCACTTGCAACAGTCTAACTTAATTGCTATACCACAGTTAAAATCCCAACAGCAATTCCCAGATCTGACATAAAATAGAGACTTCACCCTGTAAAGGAAATTATTTGCAGCTTAGACAGACAGCAGCTTGCTTGTGCATTAACTGCATTCAGCAGCATTCAATTTAAACTGTTCTAGCACCATGGTCAAGAAGAGTTCCTTTTTTAAAGTTTGCAAATTGCCAATTTTTTCAATCTCTGAATGGATACAGTCAGTTCTTCACTGACGAAAATAAAGTTCAGTAATGAAGAGATTTTTTCCATTATTAAAAATGAGAATATCAATACTTTTTCCATAAAGTGCCTTCAGTAATAACTATGAGAGAATAAAGCAGCTCTGTTAACCAATTACACCTGGGCAAATAATTCTCATCTCATGGAACTATTTCAGACAGAAAAAAGTAAGTCTCGCTTATACCAGTTTTCAGTAATTTTATACCTGCCGAAACACTGCCCCCTAAGCCCTACTATGCCAATATATGGGTAGAAATATCTTGGACACCATTACATCTACAAGAAGCCAACAGGAGAGGACAAAGCACCACCTCTTATTTTGACCCCAAGCAAAACTGCTCCCTTTTCCATGCCTCCATAACAGACACTGTCTTGAATTTAAATGTGTTTAGCCAGGAGATTTCAGCACTAGGTTCTTCACAACTTTACCCAGAGGACAACCAACACGAGAATCTGTACCGTAACCAGGACTCAAAACAACACAGGCTTCACCATGGAAACCGCCTGCGTATATACACAGATCTGCCCAAGAGATTTGGCAGCACTTGAGAAAAAGCCACTTCCACACTCTCCACTACAGAAAGTAACTACAAAAATGCAAGTAACAAGGCAGTTTAAATATACCTTCACATATAAACAGACGTTCTGAATTTCCTAGACCACTAACACCACTCCCACTTTGAACTCAGATGCCAGAAAGCCCACCACACATCTTCCACCAGCTGCCAACCTGTTAATAAAAAAAAAAAAAAAAAAAAA